AATATTATCATTTCAAAAATTGTAAAATAAAATTTTTTTTAAACAATGGTAAAAAGTTGGCGAACTTTATTTTCCTCCATTTGTAGTAATAAGCTTTTAATATTTTTTCCAAAATTCAAGTCATGAGCTTATTAAAGCTTTAAAGTAGGTGCCACAATATTTTTAGTTTAGCGTTGTTTGTCAATTTTGTTCCATAATAGATGTGTCAATTAATTTAATCTGTTATAAGAAAGGTCTACTAAATGACAATTCTGTTTCGTGACAGGTAATTGAAATGTCAATTAAGTTGGATATCAAGACAGTTAATGAGAAAAAGTTTTGATATTTTTGAAATTAATTATTAGACCAAACTTGTGAATTGACAGAAAAAGTTAGGCAAGGTGTAACTTCACTGTTCGAATTTTCTCACAATTTCTAAGTGTTTTACAAAGGTTGATATAAAAGATGTGACAACTTCTGTACTATATTGCTCTTTTTTACTATATTATACATTTCTTCACTAAACACAAAAAGATAGTGACTAATATAAATAAATTGAAGTGAATCTTTTATAAAGCACATAATAATAACTAAAAATAGGATGATAGTGTTATCATAATTTTTTATTAAAATCTTTATACAAATAAGAATTGCTCACATAAAATTGAAATTAAATCCTATTTCTAATTAAAGATCGAGAATTTTGAGTTTTAAAAAATAAGAAAGCAAAATTAATTTATATATATATATTGCTCGACGTATCATAAGAATTTTTATCTACACCACTTTGTACTTTTACTATTGATTAAAAATTTTTCTTGGAAACTTTTCTGAGGTAACTGAACGAGAGAACTTTGTTGTTAACTGGTTCGCTCACACCTTAACTCAATATAAGCAGCTTACATGCAGCCCCTTTGATGCTAAAGGTCGACACTCGAATAATTATTTCAATGTTCTTACAGCACTGAATTTAAGATGAAGAAGATTTATCTATAGTTTGAAGTATAAAAATGTTCATACCTTATCATAAAAGTTTTTTCATTTTAATCAAAAAAGTTTCGTCATTTAATCAGAAAATGATTTTTTAGTTTTTTTTAAATCAAGCTTTGTTTTATTAAAAAGAAACTTAGTTCATTTTGTCTGACAAAACTTTCGTACTCTATTGATGACATTTATCAATTACAAAAATCTTTTTATTTTTAATAAATCTAGTTTCGTAGCTTTTTGGCCAAACATCTAACAATAAAAATTTAAAAATTTTTTTTCAAAAAAAAATAAAATTTGTTGTTTCAAAAAAAAATTCTATGGTTTTGAAGTTATAATTTTGAAAATTAATATTAATATCTCTATTAAATTGATACTTAATAAAATTCATGTTTTAGGAAGAAGTATATAGTGAGTGGTTATTCGTGAAAATACAAGAAACATATTTGCTACTAAGCATGACTTCACATCTTTCCAGCTACCATTAATCATTTCCTTTCTGTGAAAAATTTATTCGATTGAAGATGATTTTTCAAATATTACTAAGTAAGTTTTTAATATAACATACATATATCATTCATATTGCTAAAAATTTAACAATTCTAAACTATTTTTTTATTCACTCGTTCATTTTCCTGTATTTATAGAATTTAATTGGGAAATTGCAATTGGGTACTTTACCTTCAAGATTGTTCCATTCGCATGAATTCAATTTTTTATACTTTGATTAATTTTAATCTATTTAATCTAATCAATTAAAAATTGGAAAATAGTGTAAGTAATATAATTCTCGTTTTTTGTGTTAAGTTATTAAATGAAAATAGGTACATTAAGATAAAGATTTAATTATTATCAGACGTAAAAAATCAATAGCAATAATTGTTGAAAATTGGTATAGCAATTGAATAACAATTTTTTCGTTAAGACAAGCTTAAAGAGAAATTAATTGCAAAGTTTGATAAATGATAATTGTGGCAGTGGAATTAATGTAAAATTTTTATTAATTTTAATAATAATGAGTGAAAATTTTACAGGCTTTATCGCTTTTTACAAGTAGGAAGTAAATTAAAGGATGGAGATTATGGAAGAGCTCTCACGACCCACCTTTCTGGAGCAGCGAAAGTAGATATATACATAGAACATTTATGAAAGGAAAGCCATACCTATCCACACTAAAATTCCAGTATTATTACACTACTCGTACACTTTCAATGCTCATTTTCTTCTAAAGCTTTCCCTTATTCAAACCACCACACCAATATAGTTCTCTTACGATCTCAAAACTCGTTCATATTACGGTGCATTTACCTACGCGGTTCAAGTATATGGTCATAACATGTGGTCTCTCCAACGTTTCCCTGCGAAATTGCCTTAACTTTTTTTACCTAGTTTTTATTGATATAATAAAAATATTGTAGATGAGAAATATCAAATAATAACATACATATTCATTTGCGGTCAAAAATCTTCTTTTTAAAATGAAAATAATTTTTTTTAAATATAAAGCACTACACAGGTTTACAAGTTTTTAGAATTAAAAATGGCGGATCCAATATGGTGAGCAAAAAATCAAAATCAAACAGATTTGCTTAAAATTTGTTAATCAATTGTTTTTTTTGTTTTTCTAATTACTAAACTGAAGTTAAAGTTAAAAATTTTAAATTCTGTGTTGCTGACGAGAACAAGGGAAATTGAAATGCAAGTAAAAAGGAAAAGGGAGGAAGAGTGAATAAGCAAGGAGTAGGGATCAAGTTCTCAAGGTACTGATGATTGAGACCTGACGGGAAGAGGTCATTGACTGGAAGGCCTTACATGAACAGGAGTTAATTCTGTAACTTTTCCACTTCCCACTCTCACTTCCTACTCCCCACTACCTCTTCCCACTCTCACTTCCTACTCCCCACTACCTCTTCCCACTCTCACTTCGTACTCCCTACTTCTACTTCCTCTTTCCACTCTCACTTCCTACTCCCTACTTCCTCTTTCCACTCACAATTCCCACTTTACCCTCTCACTTCCCACTCCCTACTTCCACTTCCTCTTTCCACTTTCTATTTCCACTTTACCCTCTCACTTTCACTTCCCACTTTCCTCTCTCTCTTTCCACTCTCTATTCCCACTTTACCCTCTCACTTTCACTTCCCACTCTTACTTTCCATTCTAACTTTCTACTTTCACTTCCTCTTCCCACACTCACTTCGTACTACCTACTTCCACTTCCTCTTTTCACTCTCACTTCCATTTCATACAATAATTTTCCTCTTCCCACTGTGTAGAGTATGAGAAAGGAACGTGGAAGTGGAAAATGGGGAGTAAGAGTGTATAATCGTGTATAGTCGAAGTGCGAAGTGCAATGTGAGAGGGGTGAGAAGTGGGAATTGGGAGTGAAAAGTGAGAATGGAAAGTGGGAAGTGAGAGTGTAAAGTGGAAGTAAAAAGTGGAAAGTGATAGTGGAAAGTAGAAGTGGGAAGTAAGGGTAGGAAGTGGAAAGTGGAAGTAAGAGTGGATACTGGAAATAAGAAATGGAAAGTGAGAATGAAAAGTAAGAGTGGAAGGTGGAAGTATGAAGTGAGAGTGGGAAGTGAAAAGTGAGAGTAGAAAGTTGAAGTGGGAAGTGAGGGTAGGAGGTGGAAGTGAGAGTGGAAATTAAAAGTGGAATGTGGGAAGTGAGAGTGGAAAGTGGAAGTAGGAAATGCAAAGTGATAGTGGAATGTGTGAATTAAGAGTGAAAACTGAGAGTAGTAAGTGGAAGTGGGAAGTGAAGGTAGGAAGTGGAATGCTGCCATTCACATATTATCGGATATATTTAGGGGTGGGAAGGGGTTAGCAAAGTATCACGCTTTAACAAATTTTCTTTACTAAACTATAGAATAAGTATTACACAAGGGGGGAGGGGGAATAAAATACCTAAAATATCTATCACGTAATATGTGAATGACCCCAATGTGGGAAGTGAGAGTGTAAAGTGGGAGTGGAAAAGTTACAGAATCGAACCCTAGAAAAAGCTAAATTAAAGAACCAAAGGACTGGCAAAAATTGTATTAGCACACCTGACTCTAGTTAGGTTTGCATTTTGTGAAGACCACCTGACTATGAAGAGGTGCATTGAAGCTGCCAGAGTAAATAAGCGTGACTTTGTTTAATTAAACTATTGAATTATGTTACGAGTTTACTTTTAGTTGTGCCGTGAATTGACCGAAGAACAAACTAATATTTGTTCCAGTGACTCCAAGTTCAAGACACATAAGTCGATAACAAAGGAATGTCTCTGCTTCAATTTAATCCACATGCCATTGCATAGTTATTATAAATTTCTACTCGTTATCATAATTAATTAATGTTGTTAATTTAAACCTGATTGTTAACTGAATGTCAATCATTCGACGCCTCAGGTGTTTGATAGTAATTTAATTGTTATAATATCTAAAATGTTTAACTGTAATTGTTCAGACTTACAGCATACTTTTCAAGAATTAAATCTAAAGATGTTTTGTGAATTATAATTTTGTAAAAGTCGAGATAAAATAAGAACTATAAACTCATAAAACGTTTAAACCTTAAAAGCGAAAAAGTATCAAATGAAATAGGTTAAGATCCAAAGTTTGCAAATAGCTAAAATTACTTAGTTAATTCCTTGAAATAACAGTTGCTTTCCTTCAATAAAATAATAACATCGAAAATTTGTACTGCAACCGTAATAAACCTTAATGGTAAGTTCGACTCCCGGATTAAGCTATAAAATCACATCTGGACGAAACCGATTTGGAAAAACCTAAAAATCATAAATTATATGATTCAGAAGTAATCATTTGATAATTTTTATTTGTACCTAAAAAGTGTATTAATCTTAATAACAAAGAAGTATTTCCACTTGAGGTGTATTTGATTAACTATTTTACTTTTATAAAAGAAAAATATCAAGAAATATTCAAGACATTATTTATGAAGGTAGAAATTTTGTTATGATGACAGAGATAAATGGTAAAATCTTTATAAAGACAAATGACAAAAAATGATAAAAAGGCAGGAAATCTTACCACGTCGATGAGTTGCGAAAGCTTGAGCTTAATGCACACGCGAAGAACATCCGAGGTATTCACCACCGGTCGTACAAGCTTATTGTAGTTGGATAGCAAGTCGTCGTAGAGGCGCTTTGCGTCCGGATTTCCAGCTACGGCACCGTGAACAACCAGTGCGGATAGAAACCATACGCGAAAGGTTTCCCCGATTATGGGGGGCATCGTGCAACCCCGTTAACCCCACCGTGATGTCACCTTATTTCGCTTTGGTCGCCCTTATACGATAAGCAACCTACGGAAAGAAATTATTACAAATTATTTATTATTTACATTTCTTTCTAGTATCTAAAACATTTTACATGGTTTAATAATTTCGTTCCTGTATTCATGAATTCGTGCTTTGCAAACTTAAAGTAATCTTCTGTAATCTTAATAACTATTCAAAAATTATTAGTCGTTTTAAATCCGTGTTTTAAGAAATTTCAGAAACCTTAGATCATATTCGTAATCAGTCCATTATAATTTACTCGTACTTCAAGCGAAAAAACTACTGGATTTCCAGTAATTCGTTCAATAATTCATCCAGTAGCTACTCCAAGAGGGATCAATATTCTGAAACATTTCCTCTTCCTACTTTTCATACTCACTTCCCACTTCCACTCTAACTTTCCACTTCTCACCCTCACTTCCCACTTTTACTTTCCACTATCACTTTACGCTTCCCACTTCCACTCTCACTTTCCACTTCTCACCCTCACTTCCCACTTTTACTTTCCACTATCACTTTGCGCTTCCCACTTCCACTCTCACTTTCCATTTCTCACACTCACTTCCCACTTTTACTTTCCACTATCACTTTGCGCTTCCCACTTCCACTCTCACTTTCCACTTCTCACCCTCACTTCCAACTTTTACTTTCCACTATCACTTCCCATTTCTTATTTTCACTATCCACTCTTACTTCCACTTCCCACCCCTACTTCCCACTTCTACTTTTCACTCCCAATTCCCACTTCCACTTTCCCCTCACACTTTACACTTCCTACTTCCAATTTACTCTAACTTCTCACTTTCATTTCCCACTGTCCACCTTTAATTCCAATTTTCCACTTCCACGTTCCTGTCTCAAACTCAACAAAGTGGAAAGAGGGGAAATTATTGTGGGAAATGGAAGTGAAAGGGAAAGTAGAAGTGGGGGTGGAAGTAGGAAGTGGAATGTGGGAAGTGAGAGTGGAAAGTGGAAGTAGGAAGTTGACAGTAAGAGTGGAAAGTAGAAGTGGGAAGTGGGGGTGGTAAGTGGGATATTAGAATGGACAGTGAGAGTGCGATGTAGAAAGTGGGAATTGAGAGTGGGATGTAAAAGTGAAAAGTGAAGGTAGGAAGTGGAAAATAAAAATGGAAGTGTAAGGTGAGGGGAGATATTGAAATGTGAGATGTGAGAGTGGAAGTAAGAAGTTGAAATTGAGAGTGGAAAGTAGAAGTAGGAGGAGAGTGTGGTAAATAGAAAGTGGGATATGAGAGTGGACAGTGAGAGTAGGTTGTAGAAAGTAGGAATTGAGAGTGAAAAGTAGGAAGTGAGAGTGGACGTGGAAAGTGGGAAATGAGAGGGGAAGTGGAAAGTAGAAGTAGAAATTGGAAGTGAGAGTGGGATGTGGAAAGTGGAATTTGGGAAGTGAAAGAATAAAGAGAAAGTAGGAGGTGGAAAGTGAGAGTGGAAAGTGGGAATTAAGACTGGGAAGTAGAAGTCAAAGTGAAAAGTGAAGGTAGGAAGTGGAATGTGGGAAGTGAGAGTGGGAAGTTGATAGTGAGAGTGGAAAGTAGAGGTGGGGAGTGAGGGTGGTAAATGAAAAGTAGGATATGAGAGTGGACAGTGAGAGTGGGATGTAGAAAGTGGGAATTGAGAGTGGAAAGTAGGAAGTGAGAGTGGAAGTGGAAAGTGGGAAATGAGAGAGGAAGTGGAAAGTAGAAGTAGAAATTGAAAAGTGAGAGTAGGATGTGGAAAGTGGAAGTGGGAACTGAGGGTAGGAAGTGGAATTTGGGAAGTGAAAGAGGAAGTAGGAGGTGGAAAGTGGGATGTAGAAAGTGGGAATTGAGAGTGGGAAGTAAAAGTGAAAGTTAAAAGTGAAGGTAAGAAGTGGAATGTGGGAAGTAAAAGTGGAAGTGTAAAGTGAGGGTAGGAAGTGGAATGTGGGAAGTGAGAGTGGAAAGTGGGAGTGGGAAGTTGATAGTGAGAGTAGAAAGTAGAAGTGGAAAGTGAGGGTGGTAAGTGTAAAGTGGGATATAAGAGTGGACAGTGAGAGTGTAAGTGGAAAATGAGAGTGGAAGTAGAAATTGGAAAGTGGGAGTGGGATGTGGAAAGTGGAAGTGGGAAGTGGGAAGTGAGGGCAGGAAGTGGAATTTGTAAAGTGAAAGAGGAAGTAGGAGATGGAAAGTGAGAGTGAAAAGTAGGATGTGGAAAGTCGGAATTGAAAGTAGAAAGTAGGAAGTGAAAGTGAAAGTGGAAAGTAGTAAATGAGAGGGGAAGTGGAAAAGTTACAGAATCAACTCCCAGTAATTAAATCCAGTAATTTTTTCATAGGGGAATAGTTTCCCAATTAGAATGTCGATTAATAAAAGTCTGGACATTTGCCCGTGGATCTTGGTCATAACAAAACGTATAGAACGTATACGGCAGTCGAGCCGGAATTACATTGGAATGTGAAACTCTTGTTTGATTTTAGAGAAATTTTTAGAGGTCTGAATAATAGACCGTTCAGAAAATAGTGATATAGAGTTTCAAATTTTATAAAGTTCAGTATTAAATGACAAAAGGAAAAATAGTGGAAATAACAACGATAGAAGTAAAAAACGAGTTGTTTAGATAAAAATAAAATGACACGAAAAAGAAACTATACAAAGAATACTGAATTCAAAATAAAATATTATGAAAAAGATTATACTAAAAAATATACTATACCTACAGTAAATATAAATATGAGTTAACTTTACACCAAGAGGTGTAAAGAGATTATATAATCTTAAAACATCATATAGGCGGATTTCGTAGAAAATAATCCAGAATTAATTTTTAAACAATTATAGTAAATTAATTTTCAAATATAATGTTAAAACTAAATTTATCCCAATAAGTAATTATTTATCTGTGAAAGTCATTATTGCAATGAATAGAGAGGTTCATAGTTGATTGTTCTAATCGGTACTCTAAGGTATTTAGAGAGGTTGGCTACGATCAGATCGTCCGAAAATCCCGTTGCGGCAACCTGGTATTCAGATTAACCAGATGGGATCCGAATTCCCGTAACTTGTCCTAACACAACTCACATGTCGTATTTCAAGTTGAGTTGTCACTCGACCCAGTAATCAAGTTGAATCGCATGTGTATATTGGACACAGATTCAGCGTCAGGCTCCAACGCAGAAGGTAAGAGACGAACTTTGCTGTTTATCAAGTAAACGTTTGTGGGGTTGAATAAAAATTTTCAAGCGTCTGCACAAGACACATAGGAACAAGTTATAACTAGCAACGTTATATAGTGCACTTCCAATTCGATAACTAGTCAACAGAAATAACGATACATAAAAATTTTAATTTAAATTTTCATCTTGACATTATATCGAAAATATAGGAACTAAATGTCTGTGATCCGTATAGCACAAGTTCTTGCATGAAAGTTGACTTTGTATTGCATGATGTGCTTGGAAATTGCAAGCAAAAATTCAATTATTTTCAAAAGTATTCAAATTCTTCGCAGAAATTCAATTATGTTTAAAAATTAAAACAAATTCTCGTCAACATTTCAATTATTTTTAAAAATTATAAAATTATTCTACAAAATTCAATTATTTTCAAAAATTTTAATAAAATTCTTGAGAAAAATTATTTACAAAAATTTTACTCAATTCAATGATTTTCAATATCTATTGTACTTTTTTCAAGAGAATTCAATTATTAAAAAAAATTTGATAAAATTCTAAACAAACATTAAATTATTTTCATGAATAGTAAAATTCATCATAGAATTTCAATTATTTTTAATAAAATTTTTATCAAATTTTGTAATATCAAAATATATATAAATATATAAATATATATTTTTGTAAATATCAAAATTTGTAATTTTTCTTGAAAATTTAAATAAAATTCGTTGATAAAATGCTTTATGGGAATTCAATTTTGAGGAACATTCATTTACTCAATAAATTAGTTATTTTTTTGTATTTAAATAATTAAATTCTCGTTGAATTTTGTAATAAAAATTGATTTAATAATGAATTTCAGTTAAAATTTTAGATAATAATTGAATATTAAAGCATTATATAGCAAAAATCTTTTTGAAAATAATAACATATTTCGAGGAATTTATTTAAAATTGTATTAAAAATAATTGAAATCCTATAAAGAATTTTATTGCTTAGGAAAATAATTGAATTCTTGCAACGAATTTTAATTCATTTTTTTAAATAATTGAATTCAAGTAAAAAATTTTATTATTTATGAAAATAGTGAATTCTTGCAATGAATTTTATTATATTTCTTTTAAAAAATCAAATTCTTTTTAGATATTTTATTGAAATAGTAGATGTTACAAATATTTGGATTTCAGCGAAGAATTTCATTATTTGTGAAATGTAATTAAGTTCTTGCAAAAAAAGTTTTGAAAGTAATTACATTTTTCGAGGAGTTTATTTAAAATTCTATTAAAAATTATTTTAATCCTATGAACAATTTTATTAATAATGAAAATAATTGAATTCTTGCGAAGGATTTTATTAAAATTTTTTGTAAATAATTTAATTTTGTTTTGAAAAAGTTTGTGGAAAGTTAAATGATTATAAAATATGAAGATATCAATCATTCCTAGTCAAAGACTGGAAAAACATAGAAAATTGAATAAATAAAAGTTTGAATTTGAAATTTTCTGACAATTTTAATTCCTATGGAATAATAATAATAAATGATTAAATATATGTTTATTCATTTTTTAAATGTTAATTCACGATCTTTTGATTTAACTAACTCAGAATCGAAACCAAATTATAAAATGGTTTCAAGATACGAAATCATACGTTTTTTTAAAAATGTATAATAATTTTATATAATAATTAAAATAAACGAAATTAATATATCAAGAAATCTTTAAAAATATTTTTTTCGAAAACTTTGACATTTGAATTTAGAAATTTTCTAATTTAAATTTTTGTTGAAAACACTTAAAAAATTCAATTTTGGAGAAACTACAAATAATTGCAGAAATTCAATTATTTTCCAAAAATAAAATTCAACTATGTTCAA